TAAGATTGACTGAAGTTACACAAAGAGAACAGATGCACAACCATGTCAAGTGTGTGTCCAATATTGAGAAATTCTCCAGGAAGAATGATGGAAGAAAGACACTTAGAATCACCGAAAATATGCATAAAAAATGAGCATACAGTAGTGTCTTGATATCAGTTTCTTTCATGTTGTTTTTGTGGCTGGCTGTCTAAAGAAAAACAATGAAAAACATATAAAAACGATTTTCCCGTTGTCCTAAGTACTGAAATTTCTAAAACTAATTTCTAAGACATTAGCTAGTATATTTTCAACAGTGAATGTATGTTTCAAAACATGCTGTTATATTAGTATGATACAAATAGCTCAGAACCTAAAAAGGAAAAAATTACTAATGTCTTAAACATGTGTAAGTACTTTCTATAGTTACAGTCATGCATTAGGGAAAATTAAACAGTTCATTTTTTTTTTCTTTTTGGTCAAAATCACGGAGTGGAAATCAACTGAATGGCAAATGGTCTGCCCAGTTGGAAACCTATGCATTTTAAATAACCTGCGAAAACATTTTGGCTAAATTGTTGGTGGTTTTTATTCCTAACATCAGTTTATATTCTCCTCAAAATCCAAAAACACACTTAATAATCAAATAGACATTAGGACAATGAAGAGTTACCCATCATGTTAAACTAAGGGTTCCCAATGTTCCAGAAATAGCCAAAATGAGACCATCTGCTGCAGGTACTCAATTCCCATCCAAAGCAGAACATGAGTGGAAGGAGAAAAACACTGTCTCTAAACTACTTACATGATATTTAAATTAACAGAAAGCTCATACATTGCACTGACTGATAAGTAATGACTTTATGACTTTATGAAAGTAATAGTTAATGTTACACTTCAGAGCAATTGTGCACCACAGATTGGGGGAGGAGGCAGGAGAGTGAAACAAGAAAGGGTGAATATGCGCGTTGCCTTCACTTAAAGCACACCATTATTTTTCTTTCCTTTGCTTTTTTTTTTTTAAGATAGGGTCCCGCCGTGCAGTTCAGGCTGGCCTTGAACTCATGGCTATCCTCCTGCCTCAGCCTCCTGTGCGGCCTCACGCCCGGCTCACACCATCATTTTTCAAAGGCAAACCTTTTACCGATAAGGAAACAGGATGAACGAGGTAGGGGACACGCCCCTGGCCCACGCACCAAATCCTTTTCAAAGTCTGGCCTCTTTAAAGAGAAGGTGGCTAGCCTCCCGTGGTCGGGAGGTGCACGAACGTAGAAAAGGACCAGGAAAAGTTTCTCAGTTTCCACTCCCCGTTTCAGGTCGGGCAGGGGATCCGGGATCCACTCCCGCAAGAGGACCCTAGGTGCCGTCGGCAGACCCGGGATCCGGGATCCACTCCCGCAAGAGGAC